CCACCAACAGCAATCTGCCACACCCACGGCGTCGAAGCAACGCAATACTCCACCGCAAACCACCACCCACAGTAGCCACCCACCACAGCAGCGTTGGGGTCATTGCAGCAGTGACGTGCTGCTGATTCGCAGCAGCACTCTACTGCGAAGAGCAGTAGCGCTGCTGCGATTCGATGGGGAGGGGGGATGGGGAAGGGGGGAGGGAAGGTGGCAGAGACCGTCGAAAGAGAGAGGGGAGGGGAGGCGACTGGCGAGATAGAGAGAGAGGGGAAGGGGAAGGGTAGGGAGTGAAAAATTAGGTTTTGAGTTTTTATATATCACCTAATTTTTGAAGAATTAAATTTGGTCCCTGATTTTTGAATTCTTTAAACACCTGGAATTGTGTAATTTCCTCTAATTTATCAGGCTGGTTAAGGTCCAACCCGTTAACCAACACGAGCCGTTCCTATAAAAAGAATAGGTCGACTTGAACTGATCCGTCCATTTTGACACCACTATTTGTATGTTTGTGGAATTGAATTCTAGAGAAAGCATTAATATCAACCTCAAAAAGATCTAAACATTATCAAAACTCTGTATTCTTTTGGTTCTTCTAAAACTTTGATATCCAAATATTGGGATCTTTTATTTTTAAACATGAAAAATCTAAATAGTTCATAGGATTTGTTTATCAAGTTTACAAAACAAATGGAAGTAGAACGTGGAGGTAGATTGTTCATAGTAATTTATCAAAGTTTACAAAACAAAGGTATTTGAAGGAAACATCTCATCCTCTCCCTTAGAAGTCGACATGTGAGATATCCAGCATAGTTTGTCATATTCCCAATAAAATATAGGTCAGCCGCATGGATACTTTTTTACGACCCCCATTAGATTCATCACTATCACTATGTATATACACATAAATTTATTTTTTGCAATTACATAACTTTCGCTTCTGAATATTATTAATTTCTACACGTCTTCTCTTGATATTTTGATTGAATTCCACGTTTTTTATTAGGAATCTTGACCTATCAATTGAAAGACTTTCTCTCCCTTGTATCTTTGTGGAACGGAAGTCTAGAGAAGGCGTAAACATCAACCACGAGAAAAGTGTAAAATTTTAGCTAGATAAGACATCACTTTTTATTTCTTTAATTCTTCTGTTTTTATTCAGAAAAATAGACCATATCTTGACTATGCTCTTTCACCAGGGTGCATATTTGTCCTGTCAT